GAAATTTGAAGGATGAAGAAGAGAAGAGGTTGAATACTGTAATCTGCTTCATTGTCTTGCTGATTTTAAGGTGGGAAATCTGAAGGACAAAAGAATATGGAAATTGGACAAGAAAAGAGGCTTTTCTGTGAAGTCCTACTACAATTTTATTATCAAAAATGGTGATGTTAATGTCAAGGCAGCACCGTTTAAACAAATCTGGAGGTCAAAAGCTCCACCTAGAATGACTTTTTGAGAAGCTGTTAAAGAAAAAATATTGACCATTGATATATTGAGAAGAAATATGATGATGGTTAATAGGTGTTACATGTGCAAGGCTGATGAAGAATCTTGTAACCACTTGTTACTTCAATGTCCAACGGTGTACAGAATTTGGGAGTATGTGTATGGGATTCAATGTCCAACGATGTACTATTTTTTAGTTTCATCGAATCAAGTAAAGGTTACTTAAAAGCATTATGGATCTTTGTAATCTCGTTTTTTGATGCCAAAATAAAGCACATATTTTCTAGGTAGTGCATCTCTTGTTTGTGATCTATTTCATGCATGCTCACCTTTTCCTCCTCTTTTCCATGTTCAGTCATCGACTTTTTCTTTTAAAAAAACTTTTTATTTTATGAGAAATTGTTTTAACATTTGTTTGTGGACAATGTTACAGGTTGGCCATGAAGCATTTGAGCAGAATGCTGGTGGTGGCTTCCCTAATGAGTCAGGCTTTGGCGCTGGATTTAATCCTTTTGATATCTTCGGTAACTTAAATAACGATGTAATAACCTCTTCTTTAGCATCTTATTGCATATTTTGTTTTATGTTTGTGTTTTGTAGTTTATTTGTTTGTTTGTTAATTAACATTTGTCTGGATTGCGATCCTCGGGGGATAAATGTTCATATCTGGAATAAAATCATTTGAAAAGCCATGGTGCAACAGGATGCTGAAGATACAGGAAAGTTGTGTCATATGCTCTAAGATTAAAAATATGAAGGTGTGGTAGAAAAAGGACATGATGGCATTATAAAAGGATTTTTTCACCCAAAAAAATCATCTGGGAAATCATTTGAAAAAACCATGGTACAACAGGATGCTGAAGAGAGAAAAGTTGTGTCTTATGCACTAAGATTCCAAAACATGAAGTTATTGTAGAAAAAGGTCATGATGATTTGTTGAAGATAAGAGCGAGAAGATTGTTTATTTATAGAGGACATCCGGGAATTTTTGAGTTCATGGAATAGGTAGTTTTCTGTTTTTTGTGGCGAGAAAAAATAAGAAATGTCATTAATAGGCTTTGAGGGAGTGCAGCTCATATACATGTATAAGAGATGAGAAGACAACAATTAGTAAAGTTCACTGTGTACAAAATCCTCGGAGTGAGAAGTAGGATTCTAATTTTAACAAGGGGGAATAAATGCCCTCAAAAGTTTCTTTTTTGTTTTCTCTCCAAATGAGCCCTCTCCCCCCTCCCATCCGCCACCTGCACATACACAACCCGAGACCGATTTGAGAAGATTTAACATAGAATTCTAAATTTTCCAGCCCCTGAACGCTGAAGACTAAAATGATTGGGGATTCATGATCTCAGAGACACAAAAGAGCAGATTGAAAATAACGTTTCCTCTCTTCGTTTGGCTGTCCATAGTGAGGATTCTTCTCCGTGCAGCTTTCCATACAAAATGGCTGCTGTGTGGGGAATCTACTGGTCTTCGGAATTTTCTTCCATGGAAATGTGAAGGCCATAGCATTCTGAGAAGTTGTTTATTATAATCTGTTCCCCTGAAAAAAAAAAGAGTTCATATGAATTTCCATGAAGGATGGTCGGGTGCAGTTATATTGAAAAGCTAGGACACCTGATACTTTTCCTTTGTAAAAATATGAGCCAGGATTTTGTTTGAAATTATTAGAGTCCCGCCGATAAGAGGATCTGCTTCTTCTTTATCCCAGCCCTTGGGTGAAAAATCTTTTATTAATGAAAATGGTGGGAAATCAACTAAAACCACTTATCAGAATATGGATCTTTTCAATATTAATCAGACATGCAACTTAATCAGAAACAAAGTGAATGTCCATTCATATTTCTCCTTTTACAGTTCTTGTTCTTTCTACTTCTAACAAAGAATGATTGAAATAAATAAATAGATAATTATTTCAGGTAGAAGTGTTATGAGGGGGAGTTGGGGAGATTTTAAGAAACACTTTTGTCTTTTCCTTTAATGTTCTTGTAATGAGTTCTTAAGATACTATAACAGTTCAAGATAGATGTTTCGATGCAATTTTGATATTAAAAAAAACTATATTGATGTTGAATTTTCTCATTGTTCTTGGTAGCACCTCTTGAACTACGATAAAAACCTGGGAAATAAACTCACTTGTGGAACTTTCCCATCGAGATTTTTGTTTCATAAATGAATATAACTGTTTGGGATCATCCAATGATTGATGGATGTCCTGATTCTGTATTCCAGCACCTTTACTTGTTTTCTTGTAGTAACTATGGTGTTATTTGATATTTGTATGTTTTAGTGCTTCCTTTACTTACTACCTTCGGAACAAATATTATTTAGAGTAGGAGTACTGAAGTCTAGTTTGCGAACAAGATATTGAATATTGAGGACCCATTAAACTTGTGTACTTTAGGGAATGTATTTCACCTTTGGAATATGCACTGTTTTGATGTGCATAATGGTCCACTTCCTAAAATTTTGTTGCAGATATTCAATATGTTCAGGCGTGATATTGGTGGCCAGGATGTCAAGGTGTTCATCAGTTTCCTACTTACTTTTGTGTCCTTCTTGGTGCTTTATAGTTGATTTTATGAATCTAGTTTTTATTTATCGTTTAGGTGGTGATTGAGTTATCCTTTATGGAAGCTGTTCAAGGATGCAACAAAACCGTTTCATTTCAAACGGAGGTGCCTTGTCAAGCTTGTGGTATGCAACTTATTTTTAATGGAGTTCTTAGGCTTTTGCATTCATATTTTATCATTTTTTTGTTATAAATTGATTTTGATCTTATTATGGTGTTTGGATTAGAAAATTCTTAATTTAATTTAAAGTAATTTAATGTATTTATAAATTTTTCTCTTCTCTGCAGGTGGACAGGGGGTGCCTCCTGGTGCTAAACGCGAGAAATGTCGGACATGCAATGGCTTTGGCATGGTCAGCTTTTTCATTTATATTTTTATTTATGTATTTGGAACACACTAATATTCTCCAACATGCTGCATTACATTTATACAACTCAGTTCTAACATAAAAATTCGTATTGGATCTCATTGTTTTTTGTTGTTACTAATACTGCAGACAACCATGAAAAGAGGCATGTTTCATATTCAAACTACATGTCCTAAGTGTGGTGGGGTTGGCCAAGTTGTGTCGGTATGTTATGCATCTATTTCTTCTACCTGCTATTAGGTCATGCCATCTACATTTGTAATTATATTTTCTTAATAGATGACTAAATTAGTGCTTTCTGTCGAGAGCCATTACTTTATTTTCTTTTCTCTCATCCAACAATCATTGTTTTCCTTTTACAAAATCTAATATCATTTGATGGATCTTCTTCCTTATTTTCCTTGTTGGATATAAAATATGCCACGCTCTCGTGTCGTGTGTTGTAGTGCTGGTAAAAGTTCTATGTGTGTCTAAAGTGAATGTAATTGTGCTGTAAGCCAAGGGAAAAGGTAAAAACTGCTAATGGCATAATGTAGAACAAAAGGATACCAAATTGGACATTTTCAATAATAAGGGGATATTTATATAATGTAATTGTAATAGAATTCCTATGTAGGTTTGGGAATTCTTATTTTGCTTGTATTCTGATACCTATAAATATCTCAACTGATTTGATAGATTATTTACATGATTATTATAAAAAGCTTGATTATTGAGATCCGATGTCCCCAATTTTGGTTCTTAATATAATTTCTCTAGGTATTGTGCTAAAGCTCTCTTTTTCTTGGATAACTAGCATGCAGATGTTTGATGGGATATATTAGGGGAAGTTTATGAATAATGTACAAAAACACACATTTCTTTCATCTTTTTATTGGAAAGAAAAAGAAAATGGAACACGTGAAATTTTTCTCAGGATAAAACAGCAGTCATAAGGCTTTTTATTCCAATGCTAAGAATCTCCTTCATGAAAAGTCAGTTAATTTTATGTTCTGGCACTTTATTTTTCTCCTTGATAACTAGGAGTCAAATTGATGGGTAACATTATTTTCATATTTTCAGTTTTTATCCCAGATCCTTCTCATTATAGATAGAATATCTTAATTTTCCTGGTGCATGCATTTATATATTCTTTTTCCTCGCAAAAAATTCTCTCCCATTCCCTCATTTTAGATAATAGTTTGCTGGAAACTTTTTCTTGCCATTTAATTCCAGGCCTGCCAGGCCGTCAGAGTTATATTTGTCTAACTTGTGGTGACTTGATTTTGTACTTAATATTCTGGAAAAATTTTCTTTGATAAGTTTCTTTGCAAAACATGAATATATTTAGTGAGTAATCTCTTGTTCTCTTAGGAAAAGAACATTATCTAGTGGATAATGTTTATTTGAATTTTTTTTGGGTGGTCAGAGCATCTGCAAGTCATGCAAGGGAGCTAAAGTTGTGAGAGGACAGAAGTCAGTTAAATTGGATATCAAGCCAGGTTTGATGATTGAATCCTAAGGTTTTCTATTTATATGTCTCTTCAGCTCATTAGATTATGTTATGCTGTGACCACATCTTCTTGCCTATTTGTCACATGTTCATGTTCAATGCTCATTTGTCTTATTTCGTGCTTCTTTATTGCCATGCTCTCATTCTCTATCAAAAATAAGTTATTGATCTTCCTATGCGAACCGCAATGTTCATTGAAGTACCATTTTGAAGGGAGGGTTTATTCAAACAATCTATTTTACTATCTATTAAAAAAAAAGTGTTGGTTTTTCCGTTTCTCCCCTTGTATAAGATTCTTTTATTTGAAGCTAAAATTAAAAACATGAACCACTTTTATTTACTGCATTGGACTGAGTTGTATCTCATTTTTAGGAGTTGACAATGATGATACAATAAAGGTTAACAGATCTGGTGGAGCTGATCCTGATGGAAATCAACCTGGGGATCTTTATGTTACCATCAAGGTAACTTGATTAATTATTTATATTTCGTTCAAGGTTACTTTGTTTAATTTACATGTTTAGATACATGCCCCTATATTATCATATTACTTAAACTCATTTTCTTAACTCTACGATTTATATTATGCTATTCACTTCCGAAGGTCCGTGAAGATCCTGTTTTCCGTAGAGAAGGTGCTGACATTCATGTAGATGCTGTCTTAAGTGTCACACAGGTAACCTAAATATTTTTAATGATTATTATGTCTCAAGGAAGATATCAGAATTTCAAAATTACAGGTTTTTCAATTAGGTCATGAATGTATTAGGATTTATCAGTAATTGCAGCATGTTTATCTGTTATTTTGGTTCTTATTTGGATTTTCTAATTAGAGGTATTATTTCTTCTTCCTAGAACCTCAGCTTTCTCCTTGTTTGTTTCATTATGCCTATTGTCATGCCTCCTTGCAGGCTGTTTTGGGTGGAACTATCCAAGTCCCAACTCTCACTGGGGATGTTGTTGTAAAGGTTTGCTGTAAAGTTTGTCTTTCTATTTTCTGAAAATGATAAGAAATTGGTATGTGATTGGTTCCTTGGAGAGTATGTTTGACTGAAACTCTCTTTTCCTCCTCAGGTCCGCCCTGGTAGTCAACCAGGTCAGAAGGTAGTATTGAGGAATAAAGGTGAGACATTGTTGAGACATTTGTTTTAGATAACCTTTTCCTGATTGCCATATTGCACAATAAGATCATTTGAAAAATCAAAATTTTATTTTAGATTTTATGAAGTATAAACTAAAGCAACTACGTATTTCCCTTTCTAGGTTTTTTGTCTTTCCAGTTACTTGTATCCAGCTTTTATATAAAGTTAAAATTCCATCTTTGTAGTTGGGTGAAAAAAAGTCCTCAGAAAAACTTATGATGGATTGAGGATAATATATATGATTAGGTATTGAAGTTGGTGCCTGTTTTAATCCTGATAATATGATGTAATGCTGCTACTGGATGAAGTCTGCTTATGATATATGAATTTGAAAACGTTGCTTGTTTCCTAGTTATATCACGTACTAAGGGAACCATTTATTGGATAAAGTTCCTTGTATAATTGGTTCCCAAAACATTGTGCAGCAATCTCTGCTTGTTTCTTGTCCCTTAGTTTGCAAATGGGTACTGGTAGGTTGCATTTACCGAGGAACAGGTGCTGATGATTTGCCGTTTTGTTTGTGATTAAGCATTTAATTATCATCGTATTTGACGGCTTAGCAGGAGGCCGCATTTCTTAAAATCAAAATCAGTTTTTGGGTGCCCCAGCCAAACTATGCCAATAATGGTTGTAAGAGGATGTGTAGATCATGGATATTTGGATTTATTCTGCAACAAATTTGTTGAAATTTGACTGGCTTTTGTTTAAAGCATGTAATTGTCCTTCCTGTGAGCTGACGTACATTTTTCATTTTATCTTATCAACTAACTTGAATAACGAAAATATTATGCGACTAAGCACTAGTTAATATTATGCTGATTCCTGACAGGGATTAGAGCTAGGAACGCCATATCATTTGGGGATCAATACGTGCACTTCAACGTCAGCATTCCAACGTACGCTTTTGATTATGATCTTGCCATGAATGCTATCCTTCTTGCGTTTATGAAGATATTCTAAAAATTATTTGGATCAACTTTTTTCATCCTTTTTTATCTTCTGCAGGAATCTAACGCAGAGACAGAGAGAATTGATTGAAGAGTTTGCGAAAGAAGAGCAAGGGGAATACGATAAGCGGGCAGCTGCAGGGGCATCTGGGTAAAGAACTGAACAGAACCAAAATGGTCCTGATAAACAGGGATAGAGAAAGAAAGAAGGTCGAAAAAGAGAAGAAAAAACAGAAGCAGTAAGCTTTTATATTTATAATAAGCTATAGCCACCTGCTTTAGAAATTTTGTAGGACAAAATATTGGTAGTAACTTTATATATGAGCGATCTGTTAGTTGTGTAATTTATCATAGCTTTTATTAAGAGTGATTTATGTCATAGTTATTGTCAGGAATATCTCGATTGATTGGCACCACGCTCTTTCTCTCTAGGGTCACAAGTCCAGGGTTTGAATTCTCTACTAGGCGCATGTTAAAAGTTTTTATATGTTTTCACACATGGCCGAGTGCTATAAGACCAGACTATTCTGTACTGCTAATCAACATGTCACCTTGTATCTAATTCTTCAAGAACTTCATTATATCTAAATAATATGGTTTTGGTGGTCTGATTTTTATGTTCTTTTCTTTCATAGATTTGATCAATTGCATAAGATTGTGAGTTTACTTTCTGAAGCGTTAACTGGGAGGTGTTCTTGAGATTTTTCGGATGATTGCTTCGAATTTCTTTTGGATTATTAATGTTTTTTGTCTTAGAATCCCCTTAGAATATATATCATGAGGGTATGTTCGAACAAGATGGATTATATATCTCTTGCATAAAACATAAATGTTATAAATTAAAATTTTGAATTCGTTCTATATATATATATATATATATATGTCCAAGCAATCTCCTGGCATGCATTTGGATTTAATTTAGTGCAGGCTAGATGAACACTCAAGTATTATTAATTAATCCCAAATTACTTTAGATTCCAAAAATAGTATTAATTAAATTCTATAAATGTTTCCTCTCCTATCTACTTTTCCTATTTGATCTTTTAAGCTTCAGGACATTAATCTTATACATCTACATACGCACACATTTAGACACACACACACACATATATATGCATACATACATATCCACATTATAATATAATTTACATGTATAATATAAATTAGATTTTTATAATACTTGCATTTAGTCTAGTGGGGTTGATAATAAATCAAATAATTTTTTTTTTTTATAATAGAAATATTGTTGAAATTATGACTTAAAAACTTAGGTTAGTGTATATTAAATTATACATATATGTTTACAGCAAAGATCCCACTCGGCCGAATGTACTTTCAAATTAATTAATTAAAATATAAATAAATTAAATTTGTGTTTGATCTATGCACTACAGACAATGTGTAAATTATTAAATTATATTTTTAAATATGGCACTTATTATAATTTAATTTTTAATATTTATTTATTTATTTTAAACGTCATTTTTTTTTATTTTATAATTAAAAAAAATTAAAATGATTAGATGATATTTATATATTTAAAAAAACAATTTTGATTAATTATTTAAATTAATAAAAAAAGAACATTATATTATTATTAATTTATTAATCTCTTAATTTAATAATTTATATTGTTTGACACTACACTTTTTTACCTTGTTCATCTCCAAAAAGAGTGAATTAATAGCTCGCCCATTTTGTCTTTCTTGTTTCTCACATGATTAACACCCATTATTTAATTGATAAATTAACATAATACATATATATACACACACACACAGAGCAAGGTCAAAACTTTGGAAACAAATATATTTAAATTAAATAACTTAAATTTTCAATCAAACATATAAATAATTATAAAAGTTAAAACCGATCCATGTGTGTGTGTGTATATATATATATGTATATGTAGTCTTCCTTTTTCCAATATGTAGAGATCAGTCAGTCAGTCAGTCTAGTTTTCTTCTACCAAAACAGTCAACCATGGAAATGCATCGTCCAATTCTCTATCTCCTTCCTCTTCTGTCTTTTCTTGATTCCATTGGAACTCTGGAAACAAATGTTTTACATTCTGCAGCTACTTCCATCGATCGAAACAGTTTTCCCCACGGATTTGTGTTTGGATCGGGGTCCAGTGCTTACCAGGTTTCCTAATTTCATATAGTCGTTTTATCTATATCACGAATCAAGTTATTTATTTCAACAAAATTCAAACTAAACTTAACCCACTTTTTCTTTTTTTCTTTTTTTCCTCTTTATCAGTATGAAGGAGCTGCAGATATTGATGGCAGAGAACCAAGCATATGGGATACTTTTGTCAAGGAACACCCAGGTTACTTACCATTTACAAGAAAATTATGCTTGTATTATAAACTTATATAAACCTGTTTATAATATATAGAACTGAGAATTTACTTAACTAGTATATTAATTGAAATGTAATGATCAAGTTATGGTTAATCTCAAAAAAATCTATTGCGTTTTTAGGTGAAAATTATATTTTATCGTAATAAATTAATTAATCTAATCATGAATTAATATTTGATCTAATCTTTTAAATACAGTAAAAAAAAAAATAATTTTGAACTGTTACATATTCTATCATTGTCTTTTGGAACTGTTAGTAGTCTATCTTTTATCTTTTGGAATAAATTAAAAATATTATCATTATTCTTTTATACTTTCCAAAATTCTTGTATGTAATATATATATATATATATATGTATATTGTTTATAGAATCTGATTCTTTCTGGGTTACAGCGGATGGTTGTTTTGAAATTCCATCTCCTTTACAGTTTCATTGGAGGACTGACTAATTATTATTTGTATTATATGTTGGCTTTAGAAAAGATCTTAGACCACAGCAATGGAGATGTAGCAGAGGAGTTTTATTATCGTTTTGAGGTAAATTTATATTAAAAGGAGACAGATGCAGATTGATAAAAGTTAAAATTTTTGAAATTTGATAAAATGTAGATTGATCATTGTTACAGAAAGACATTGCTTTGATGAAGGAAATTGGACTGCACTCATTCAGATTTTCAATATCATGGTCAAGAATATTGCCTCGTATGATCATATCAATCGCTTAAAATCAATATATTACATACTTATAAGCATTACAAAATGCATGTACATAATGAACTAACTACTGAAACTTACTTGTTATATAGAAGGAAAAGTCAGTAGAGGAGTGAACCAGCTTGGTGTTGACTTCTACAATTATTTGATAAATCACCTCATTTCAAATGGTAATAAAATCAATATTACTCCTCTCAATCTCTTTCCACTAACCTTATATTCGATGCGATTCCTCGGCTTCAACGCAATTCCTCAGCTGCTAAACTTTTTGCATTTTGAATAGGCATACGACCATTTGTGACATTATTTCATTGGGATCTTCCTCAAGTCCTTCAAGACGAGTACAACGGATTCTTAAGTCCTAACATCGTGTAAGTTGAACACCATCAATATTAATAAATCATATATCATTACAATTTCTTGATATGCAAGGTAACATGAACCCTAATTTTATTTTTCAACATAACTTACATGTACAAAAAATTAGGAATGATTTTCGCGACTACGCAGACTTCTGCTTTAAAGAATTTGGTGATCGAGTTCAGCATTGGGTCACTCTCAATGAGCCAAACTTATCAAGCATGTTTGGGTATGCAATGGGTACTCAAGCACCCGGGAGATGTTCTAATTATGTAGGAAATTGTACTGAAGGAAACTCGGCGACAGAACCTTACCTTGTGACTCACCATTTCATTCTATCTCATGCAGCCTCCGTAAAATTGTATAGGGAAAAATATCAGGTAATCCATAGTTTAGCATATATAAGTTTTTGCTATCATAGACTAAATTCGATTCATATTACAATCGAAGTATCATTATAGTGAGCATTACATTAACAGAACGACATGACATAAATTAAATAACTAACTCTATTTATCAAATAATTAAGATACAAGAATTAATCAAGAATATAATAAATTTGAACCAAATGCAAGATTGAAAAAAAATTATTGTCTTCTAGCTTATACTTCTGTAAAGTTGTATAACTAAATGAACATCATATGCATATTTATAACCTAAAGGATCCTTCACAAGTTTAGTAAGTTCTTTAATAAGTTTGGAAATCTTTTTTGTTTTATAGGCTTCACAAAAAGGAATTCTTGGGATTACAGTAGAATGTTTCTGGATGGTGCCTAAATATGACGATGTTGCTAGCAGGAAGGCAGCCTCTAGAGCTCTCGAATTTTCTTTTGGATGGTGATCATATCACTTTTAACCTCCTTTTACTATTTTTTTTAAATATGATCATGCTAATTAACTATAATTTGGAATAATTTGAATAGGATTGTCAATCCAATTGTTCATGGAAAATATCCACAGATAATGCGAAATTTAGTAGGGAAGCGACTGCCAGAATTTACAAAAGAAGAAGCCAAAATGGTAAAAGGTTCGATTGATTTTCTTGGAGTTAATTATTACAGTGCAAGATATGCAGATGATGTTACATTTACCAGCAGTGTAAACCTAAGTTACATGACAGATAGCCGTGCGAATCAAACTAGTAAGTTCTTTCAGTTTTAAGTAAATTTACATATACATATATATACACATGCACATATATATATTCAAACTCTTAATTATGAATGTTAAATCAAATACATCATTGCACATATAATTTAGTGAATCCTGAGACTCTCTTGCTAATTGCAGCCGAGAAAGATGGAATTCCAATTGGTCAACCGGTATTTTCCTCCCTCTTTGTCTCACACACATATACACACACATGAATAACTTTATATATATATATATATATATATAGAGCCTGTGTAACAATCATCTCAATAAAAGAAATATGCTCTAAGTGAATGTAGACAGGTGCTAGTTGGCTGTATATCTATCCGAAAGGGATTCAAGAGTTTATGCTTTATATAAAGAGGAAGTACAAAAATCCTCCCATCTACATTACAGAGAATGGTATATACATGTTAACAGCCTTATATGTTTCCAAACTGTTTGTAAATATACATTATAATTATTATTTATGTATACATTATTATTATATGTCTTTTACAGGGATGGCAGATGTAAATAACAGATCGTTGCCTATTGCAAATGCCCTCAAGGATGATTTAAGGATAAAATACTTCCATCTTCATCTGTCTTATCTTCTACAATCGATCAAGTGAGACCCAAAAATTAATTTCTTAATTAATATCAACCAACGTTGTATATATGTGTAATTCCGATATATATGTACAAATAATTTTATTTAAAAAGCTATATGTTTGCGTTATCATCTTAAATTAGGATTTACAAATTATATACCTCAAACTAAAAAGACTAGTGCCACACCTAGCCTTCATACACCTACTTAACTATAAGTGTTAAAGTGTATAATTTGATAGTAGCTAAACTTGGTGACTATTTATTATGAAGATTATCTTTAAATTATTGATGTTGCATTTATGTGGATGCAGAGAAGGAGTTGACGTGAGGGGATACTACTCTTGGACATTTCTAGACGATTTTGAGTGGCAATTTGGTTTCACAAACCGGTATGGGATGATTTATGTCGACTTTGAAGATGGGCTCAAAAGATACCTCAAGAACTCTGCTTTATGGTTTAAGAATTTTCTCCTTGGAGATGCCGAGGTAACGGTTTCTCGCTTGTAAATTGGTTGTAGCTTATTTTACAATTGACATTTGTTTTAGGTATATTGCCAAGAGAGAAATAAAGGTGGGATCAAAATATATTCAAATCTCACCATGATTCTTGGGGAATGATCCTATGGGACCTCAGATGTCTTACGAATCATGTGTGTATGTATAAATGATTAATACATTCCTCTTTCTACAAAAAATTGTAAGTTCGGAGCAAATTATCTCTCATATGTCAAAGTTTAAAAATTTTATTCTGATTGTCACTTAGTTGCTGAATATATGCATTTCTATTAAAAAAAATCTACCACGAGTCCTATCTCAATCCTTATATGTAGCATATGTCAATTTATTGTACCCATAAAATTTATAGTTTATTAATGTATATGAAGACATTTATCTAATATTATCCCATATATATTTTTATCCAAATCTTGCCATAAGTCACGTTTCTCCAGCTGGGCATGTCACTTCAACTAAGAAGAGCTCTTCAAGCTTACCTAGACTTACTATCAAGTTAAAGGAGAACCACTCAGTAAATGTCGCTAACGACACCATGGTGCCCGAGATAATTGTGGCCCATATATTAATATGGTCAATCTAAAGGGCATTTTAGCCCCTATGTAAAGCTAAGAAAAGCTTAAGTAAAAGGGAAAGACTTCGCTCTTTCAAAACTCTCTAAACACTTCTCAAGTTTATTTTACGTCCTTAAAGAGTCTTACTAATTTAGGGATAAGAGTGCTCCCTGAGACAAATCCTAATGTCACCATTTGTTCAGTGTTTGCTGGTAATTTTGACATTTCCAAGACCCAAAAACAAAATAAACTAAGGGACAAAAAAAAAAAAAAAAAAAAACAAAGGACCACTAGTCATCACATACCCAGAGCTAGAGTATTGGTCACGTGGTACAACCTGAAGAGACTAATTTTTTGGGTGAAAATGAGCCATCACAACCTTGAAGACATTAAGTTCCAGAAAATATCTTGGCCTAACTTCTCTTCCAATTCTGGGGATTGTGATACCCGAATTTTCTTCAGATTATTTTTGTTTTTTAAAAAGTTTTAAAGATAAAATTAAATTTTATTATTAATATTGTTATTATGATTATTGTTGTCCTTGTTATTATTATTATAATTAATTTTTTAAGACTATATAGAAGTTCCTAAATCAATACAAGGATCTCCTTAAGGTGTATTCTTGGTGATTATGATCAAACCCTTTAATCTTAACAAGCTGCCTTTGCCTTTCAAATTCTTCCCTCATATTGATTTAGACACCCAAGTCAAAAACTAAAGCAAGTGTTTCCATAATTCACAACCAAATTTTAATGGGATTAATAAACGACCACACAGCAATTAACAAATTCTTCCTTTTTTCTTTCACTTTTAAGCCTCCAAATAAAATAAAATAAAAAGTAATCATTAAGAACAGTTGAATCAAGGAAATAAATGGAACAAAATGCATACTGCAGGCAATTAAACAATACCTTGGCTAGGAATTCAAGCAATACACTTCCAGCCTCCACAAGCAGTAAATGCGGAAACCCATCAGGATTTTAGAACATAAACCCGGCGGAGAGCGAAAAACCCATAACGAAGATAAATCTGCGAGTGGATTTAACGAATCAGATTCAGGCCAACATCCCTACTCTTAACCAAATTAGTACGTCCAGCCAAATCAAAACCTCAGCTAACAAAGGTCCCTCAAGCCATTACCTTGACTTTTCAATTATCTTTAACAACCCAAGAGTTCAAGCATAACCAGAGACATGAAAGTTAGAGTTTTAAGCAAATTCTAACATGAACAGCAAACCAAAAGGAAATAAGACAAAATCTAAATTCCAACGACAACTTGCTCCCAGCCAATTTACAGAGGCATCAGGAAATTCAATACATCATTTTCACATTTTGTAGGAAACAATAATGTTGGCATTTCGTCGAGCACGTTAAGAGCACACATTGGTCAATCACAAAACATTTCTTACCAAACAAGAAATCAGAAGAAACAAAATTTTTTACACAGGAGACATAAGGCAGACTACCCAAACCCCTCATAACTTAAGATTGTTTGCAAAAAGCAAATTGCACATGAGAAAAGAATTTTACCCTTGAAGTTTCCTCTACTAGCTCTCTAAACCAAAATCCCCATCCCCAAATTGCCTCTCTTCCTCTCCCAAATCACATACCCTTCTCCTCTTTTTTATATTCATATCCTCCATCTTCCTTGTGCGAGCCAGCTCAAAAGCGTCTTTCCTTGCTTGCTCTGTGCCTCTTCCCTCTCCGTACATTTCTACACCTTGTGGCTTCCCGTGGGCTCTTTGTCTATCAGAAGAAAGAAATGGAGAAAACGATGTCGTTTGTTTATGGGCCGGGTTCTGTATTGGGTCTAAGATTTATTTAGATTTTCAGAAACGGGCCGGGCTAAGTTTAAATGATATGGGTAGGGAGTCATTTTGAAAATTTGCTGAAGTTTTAAAAGGGAATTTTTTGTTTTATAAGAGGTTATTTAATTTTTTTAAAATATTTTTAAATATAATATAATCATTTTAATTAAATAAATAATTATTATTTTATTTAAAATGGTTTAATTCCACTAATATATGGATATGGATGCAATTCTTAGTAAAATAAAATAAAGAGTTCAAAGAAAGGAAGTGGAAGCTGCATTCTGGTCTATGGCAACTAAGTTATTAGCACATGCATGGGTTTGGAGGTCTTCCCAATTGCACGCCTCCTCAATATCGACGCATATATATACATATACATATACATATACATATATATATATAATTAGGTATTAGTTAACTTTACTAATCTGTAGTTAAGAAAAGATTAAAGAAGATTAGACAACACAGTCGTTAGTGAACTAATGTAAACTTCAAAGTATAACAAGTCAAAGTAAAAAAGTCGAAATCAATTACTTGAATTTCTGATTCAATTGCTTCATCAGGAAACTACTGTCTGTTTAGATTGTAAACAAGAATTAATTATTAAAAGAAAACTAGGGGCTTAATTAAGGATGTTAATTAGCGTTAATTGTGGCACCAGTAATGTAAAAGGAAGAGATGCAGGTAACAGTTAATGTGTAATTAATTCATATATTAATATTTAAACTCATCATCAGTAATTTGACTCATATATATATATATATACAGACACCCACATACATATATAATACATAGATATATGTAGTAGTGATTAGTCAACTAGAAAATAAAAATTAATTAATATGCTCAATACAATGAATTACTACAAAAAGTTTTACGTAATACATGCATGTCCACGTGAAGTCAGTCGTGGATTTCAAGTTTACGTTACAGTGGCTCTATATAAAGGGTCTTGCATGAAATCTGTAAGTACAAAATACTTACTTGCACACGTACATATAAGCTAGATATATATGTATTAGCTATATATATGTAGGTAGTAAGTATAATGAGCAAAGCTATGGCTATGGCTACTAAGACCTGGTCTGTTCTACTTGGACTAATAGTCTTATCAATTAGCTTCCTCCCTCGTACTGAAACAACTTCTTTCAATCGTTATAGCTTTCCTGATGATTTTCTTTTTGGGACAGCCTCATCATCTTATCAAGTAACTATATCCTTTTCATCTTTTAATTATACATACGTACTTCTATGCATATACTTTTATGTATATATGTATATATGCATGTATGTACTAACAATATTTGGTTATGTTTAGTTTGAGGGTGCAATAGAGGAAGATGGTAGAACCGCGAGCATATGGGATACCTTTGCTCATACTTTTCCTGGTAATCTCTCTTCTTCCATTTTCATGTCTTATTAAGCTAATATTCCATGAAAGCATACATTTACAATCCTACTGAAATATTGCAGAAAGAAACAACTTTAGCAATGGAGATGTAGCAGTTGATTTCTATCACCGATACAAGGTATATATTATAACTGTATTTAATATTTAATATTTAATATAACTGTATTGAATATTAATTTAATAAATATTAAATTTTTTCTCAGAGTGATATAAAATTAATGAAGGATTTGAATATGGACGTATTCAGACTCTCAATTTCATGGTCCAGGATATTACCAAGTAAATTTACTTCAACATATTATTAATATATATAAATAATAGATTTAATTTTTTTTATTAAATTTCAATATTTAAAATTTCATAACTGATTATTCTAATATTTTTATAATTTTTTTTTAATCTTTACCAGCTATTTTTTTTAAAAAAATTTTGTAATTGTATTTTATTTAAATTTTAGATGGAAAATTAGAAGGTGGAATAAACGAGAAAGGGGTTAAATTTTATAAAAGCCTCATCAAAGAGCTCCTCCACAATGGTAACTATATATGAATTTGTCAATTAAATATTTGATGTATACAATTTTTAAAGAGAAACATTATATATATATATATATATATATATATATATATATCACCTTATGTCTAAAAAAATTAAACACAGAAGTCTTTTTATATCTCTCACATAATTTGGTGCAAAATTATGCAACATGTAGGCATAGAAGTCTCTGCAACTCTATTTCATTGGGATCTTCCCCAAACCCTTGAAGATGAATATGGTGGTCTTCTAGACTCTCAATTTGTGTAAGTATATACTATCATAACCTTCATATATACATATACGCACACATACCAAATAGATTATAATTTTGTTTAATTTTGATTACCACTAACACAGCAATCTAGTGACTATATTATAAATTGATAATGATAAATTTATAATATTTAATTCAATGATATTAAAAATTTAATTTATTAACGTGTTAATTGAGATGTAATGATCAAATTAGAATTAATCTTGTCGAGTAATAACTTTTTAATTTTTTAAAAAATAATCACCAAGATTTTGATCAATGAAGTTAATCTGGCTCTAATCCATTAGCACCTCTTGCAGGGATGATTTTCGAGATTTTGCAAGAACTTGCTTCAAAGAATTTGGTGACAAAGTGAAATATTGGACAACTTTTAACGAACCATGGGTTATAAGTTTCATTGGCTATGAGAATGGAAGAAAAGCTCCTGGACGATGTTCGAAATGGGTGAATAATGCATGTGAAGCAGGAGACTCCAGCATCGAGCCTTATATAACTTCCCATAATCTGCTCCTTGCCCATGCAGCTGCTGTACAAGAGTTCAGACAATGTTACAAGGTACACATGGAAATAAAAATAAATTTATCAACATATATATATATAAATATATGTTTGCAAGATAAGATAAATTTTACAAAACGTTTCATTTAAAAAAAATATATATGATGTATCTAGAATTTCATTGAATTCCTTTTGTAGTGTCAAAAAATTGGCAAGATTGGGATTGTACTTTCTCCTTTTTGGTTCGAACCTCATACCAATTCTCTTGCGGATAAACAAGCAGTCAAGCGATCCCTTGATTTTATGTTAGGCTGGTAAAACAATTTCAATTACCAAATGATGTTCGTCGTTTATTTATATTTGAACACTGTAAAATTAAGATTTTGTGCTCGTTCGTGTGGCAGGCATCTTGACCCTATAACATTTGGAGACTATCCAGAGAGCATGAAGACTTATGTTGGAGATAGATTGCCTTCTTTTACTGAAGATCAATCCAAAATGCTCAAAAGTTCTTATGATTATATTGGAATAAATTACTATGGAGCTATATATGCTGCTAATGTCGATAACGTTGATCCTAACCAAATTAGTTACTCGACGGACGTTCATGCTCAATGGAAAAGTGAGTTTGTCAAAAACCTAAACTTTGATTTGAAGAGTCAAGGAGATTAGAACAAATCTTTAATTGAAATGATTAGGATGATAACAAATCTAATAAAGGAATTTTGTTTGTATTATGATTTACAGGGGACAGAAATGGAACTTTGATTGGAGAAGAGGTATATGGTCTTCTAAATATTTCATTTATGTATGCTCCAGCTAAAAGGAGAGTGCGTATATATGTATATATATATATATATATATATAATTTTGTTTCTATTTCAGACTGGTATGGACTACATACTAGTATATCCGGAGGGTATCAAATATATTTTGAATTACACCAAAGACAATTACAATGATCCAACAATTTATATTACAGAGAATGGTAAGCTAATTTACAATAATAAACATATATATATATATATATATACATGTGTATCCAATATATACGATAACTGAAATTTATATAAGAAATTTTTTGAAAAAAATTTCGTGTAGGATATCCTGAATTTGATAATGGTACCTTGTCTTTGGCGGATGCCATGAATGATGCTAAAAAAATAGATTATCACATAGATCATCTCAGAAATGTTCTGAAAGCTATCCGGTAAGTTTACATATTTTGGCACGTTTTAATTAGAGGATATGTTAGAGGATATGTTAATATAGTTTTGTAATTTAAATCTTCTCATACTAATTTTTAAAGTATGTGATTGTGGCAGTGATTATGGAGTTAATGTCAAAGGCTATTTTGCGTGGTCATTGATGGATAACTTCGAATGGGAGTTTGGTTATACAGTTAGATTCGGCCTCTATTATGTCGATTTTAAAAATAACTTAAAACGTCATCCTAGGAATTCTGCATTATGGTTTAAGGAATTTCTGAATAGAAATAACCACGAAAGCCCGAATAGTAATGCGGAACTTTAGAGTTCTTTTAGAAATTTAATTTCATTGTATCAGTAAAATTAGGCTAGTTAAGTACGATTTAAATGTATGATGTTATTCTCTTCTCTATTCGAAAAATAGTTACTTAAGGGGTTGAACATTTTGTGATTTATTCTTTTGTAGTGACTAAGTATTTTGCAGAATTTTCTTATGATTATTACCAATGATGATCGATAATAAATTTACACAACTTCGAATTGATTTTAAAATTCCATTTAGTTAATCTTTAAAATCACATATTTTTCTTTAGAAAAAAATATATGATATTTTTTGTTTTAATTGTCCATATTTTAATATAAGGATTATAATGAATTGATTAAATTTCCCTTGTCTATTTTCGTGGAAAGTAAACGTTACTTCAATACAATAATTAAAATGAATAGGTAAAAAAAATTAAACTTATAAATTCATAGATTTTTTTTTGTTTTACATTACATATTTAGAGTAGGAACATTAGTCCAACCAATATATATCAAGTGAATATTATTTGTCATCAACGACTAACTCTTTGTCTCGACGAATCAAATTGAGAGAAAGAAATTCCTTAAACCATAGAGCTGAGTTCTTAGGGTGTCTTGTTAAGTTATGATAATAATCAATATAAACTAAATCAAATCTGACTTTATACTCGATATTCCATTCGTAATTATCCAATAACGACCATGCAAAGTATCCCTTGACATCGACTCCATCCTAATTAATAACTTTGTGAAACAATTATAAATATATAATTAATAACTTTGTTTTAACTATGGTAAAATTTCGTGGTTCAAGTATATATAAAGAAAATTAAACATAAAGTTCAAATTAAGTTTTACAGAAATATTTTTTGATGAGCGGAGAAGATAGATCAATCAATTGATGAGAAGAGTGTGACTTACGAGATAGCTTTTGACAGACTTTGAAAATGTAGTTGATGGTATTCCAACATGTTGATCTGTTATGTAACTATGGTTTTTAAGATCAATGCGAGGAACATTTTTAGCATAGAAAGAACTGTAATAATTTATTCTAACGTAATCATAAGAATATTTCATTAGATTTTCTGATTCTTTTAGAGTGAAATTAGGTAATTAATCCCAACAAAATTCTTCATGCTTTTCGGATAATCACCGAACGTTAGAGGACTAAAATGCCTGCAAAAAAAAAAAATCTTCTGATTATTCAAAAATAATTCTTGTAAAGATTTACCTAAATATATATCATACTTATTATGG